TGGCGCGGTGCCGCGACAGGTGGCTGGAGCGCTTGAAGGCCTTGCCGCAGGCGCCGCACGTGAAGGGCTTGAGGTCCGAGTGCGACACGCGGTGGCTCTGCAGCCGCAGCGGGCTCGCAAAGACACGGGCGCACTCCGGGCAGCTGTAGCCCTTGCGCGGGCCGGGCTCCCCAGGGGCCACCTCGCGTGGGGGCGGGCCCCGGGGCTCCTCCTCCAGCTGCACCGTGTACGTGTAGGGGACCCCGTTAGCGTCGATGAGCAGGTGGCGGCCCAGCCGTGGGGCTCGGGACCCGGTCGCCGAGGAAGGGGTAGAGCCGGGGCCTTCCGCCTTGGGGAAAGGGGGCGCCTTGGGGGGCGGCGGGTCCATGGCCTCCGGGGAGGAGGACCGTGGGTGGGGCGGCCGCGGCGGCAGCAGCAGCATCAGGAGCGGCAGCTGGGAGCGGCGGAGGGGACAAAAGTTAAGGATCTCCTTCTCTTTTGAGCGTCCCCATCCCGACTGCTCCTTAGCCCACAGTCCAAGGGCCTACCTCTGCCCCTCAAAGGAACTCTGGCCAGCCCACACCTGAGTTCCATCTGGTCGACCCCAGGACATCTGGGCTCCCGCCTTTCCGCCTGTCAGCCCCCAAGGCGTCACCCATCCAGTACCCTGAGCCTTCCTAGCAACGGCCGATCCCCCAAATCGATTCCCTTCCTTGCATCTTGGGAACCCCTTTATCTCAGCCCCAGGGCTCTTCTGCCTTCAGAACTTCCTTTTCTTCCTGAGGAGGCACAACTTCATCGGCTCACCACACCACCAGTGCACCACTGCCGCCCCTCCATGCCCAGGCGACGTTCTTCATCGCTATAAGTATCCGTGGCCTTTCCCAGTTCCCAGGGCACAGGCCGGGAGCCCCACTAACCCAGTTCCCCACTTTGCAACCATGCATACACCCCCTGCTCCCCGCTGATACCCCAGTGCTCCGGGACCTTGGGGGGGGGGTACTCCCCGCCCCCAGGGGCTCCTGCCGCGCCCCCGCCCCTGGATATAAGGTGCTGACACCTTTAGAGTTCTCCTCTGCCCCTGAGGACCCTTCTTGGACTCCCAGTTACTTGGCTGGGACTAGGGGCCTCTTTTCTAAGCCCCGCTTCTTTTGCGTGTGCAGCCTGCAGGCCTTAGCTCGCCTAGGCCCTGGGTATCCCGAGGCCCCACCCCTCCCCGTTATGCACAGCATGCCCCTCCACCCCCATGGCCCCGCTCCTCCTGCACAT